GAAGAGCGTTTTCGTGGCGTCAGGCACATTCGGTGCAGGACATGGAGGACACCTTTCAGCTGGTGAGGAGCGTCATCCCTCCGCTAACGGCCACGAAGCACAAGGGGCAAGATGGAAGGATAGGCGTGGTTGGAGGCTGCCAGGAGTAAGTGGCGGGTGCCCCGTGTTGCTCTCCGAAGTCAGTCTCTGCCTCCTGCTGTCCCTGCCGTCCACCTGTACGTCCGTGGTAGCCGTTTCCAAACCTAGTCTGACAGGGCACAGCCTTCCTCCCCGATCAGCCGTTTGGCTACACAGGAGCGAACCCCAGGGCCCAGGTGGACGTGCTGCCTGGTCGTGACGGCGCTCGGTTTGCTGTGGCGGGGACGTGGGCACGGCGTTCTCCAGGCCTGCTCCGCGTGCAGCTGTCTCGCGTAGACGCCTCCCTAGAAACCTGTTGCTCTCGGGCCTTGCTCTCCAGCGGTTCTGTCTCCTTCCTTCCGCCCAGCTTTAACATTCTTCAGCTTCATCTTTACACCTGACTTCTGTTTCCAGGTTCCCGCAGTTCCTCTGGACTGCGGTCGGAACTCAGTCCTGCCTGCGGGCTCGGCGTGGCCAGCCCATCTGCTCGGGTCACCCTCCCTCTACACCCTGGTGTTCCACTCCCGCGTGTGCGCCTGGCTTTGTTGGGTCAGGGTGTTGGGGTGGTGGAGGGCAGCAGTTTCCACCTGGGCACTCCCTGTGCTTGCCCTGTGGGTGTCGGCACGTGCCACGTGTCCCCTTGGCTGGCGAGGCCCGTCCTTATGCTGCGGGTGAGCGCGTGCTGCCTGCTCTGTGATTCTTGCTGGCGGCCCTGCTTTGCCAAAGGCGTGTGGTGTGGTGGGTGACTGACTTTGGTTCTGCGTGCTCAGTCTTTGTCCCAAGTTGTACTGACCTCGGTAAGACGTTTCACTGTTTGATGTGCTCATCTGGTGCCCAGGGCAGAGGGCAGCGCCACGGGTGCGGGCGGGCGGGTGTGCTCTCGTGTGCATCCCCAGAGGCCCGACTAGCCTCAGCTGACTGTCCAGCTGCCCGGCTCCCACTCAGCGACCCTGCCCACTCCCGACTGCTCTGAGCTGGTGGTGGCCTCCACCTTCCCTGGGACAGATGCCTGCGGGCCATCTTCCCCGGCTCACTGACTGCAGCCATGGGCTGTCCCGAGGTGGAGGAGGGACTCGGGGAACAGGCGGGCTGGTCCAGTTCTGAGCTGTGTGTGAGCGCACACCGGCGCCTCCTAGGGTGAGTGCGTGCAGGCTGCTTCCCGTCTGCACGTCCTGCTCGCCCGCTCTCTAGTCTGTCTGGTTTGGATTACTTACTGGCGGGGTGCTCGCCTGGTGCTCAGGAGTGTCCTTCTCTGCAGGTACACTGGAGCCCCGTATTTTGCAGCAATCTCGGCTCTCAAAGTGGTATGTTTCCTTAGACCTTCTTTATGGGGTTCTCCTGGGGAAGAACTGGATAAGGTAACAGTGCCTAAAGCACTGTGTTCTAACAGAAATCTAAATAGTGGGCCAACAGGTGGTGTGGTGGTTAAGGCGTTCGACTCCCACCTGGCTGACCACAGTTCAAATCCTGGACCTGCCAGCTTGCTTTGTCACTTTCCCTCTTTCTCTGTCTCTCTGGTGAATTAAAAAATGATAAAAAAAATAAATAATTCTTTAAAAAGAAAAGACATCTAAATAGCATCTTAGAGTAGTGTTAGGTAATAGGTACTCCTTTAAGTCTACTGACTTCCAGCATGGTGACAAAAATAACTTGAATTGAAAATTGTTTGTTTTTTAAAATTAGTTTTATTCATGTTGTACTTCACCAAACGATCCTCTTACAGTCCTAGCATGAGCAGTTGGTGCCTTAGAAACACGCAGCTCCCTGTGAGTGCGGCCATGTCCCCACGGACGACCGTTCAGTGTGCCCCGGCTGCTCTGGGCCTTGCAGCCCCTGGGGTACCTGGGTGGGCGGGCGGGCTAGGAGGCGTGTGGCTGGGGGCCGCCCCAGGTGGTGGCACCTCACTCCCTTCCCAGGTATTTTCCTGTACAGTTACCTGAGCTGTGGAGCTGTGGTTCGCTGTGGCGGTGCCAGTGTGTCTGGAGCAGAGCCCCTGAGCAGTGGTGCCTCTGCGTCCTGCCTGCCGAGGGCCCGCTCTGACGACTCGTGCCTGCTCCTCAGGGTGCAGACTTGTCCCATGTCTTCTGTGCCAGGGAGGCTGCGCTTGTGATCAAGTCCTACAGCCCGGAGCTGATCGTCCACCCAGTGCTGTGAGTCTGCCCACCGCGTCCCTGCCATGGCAGCTCTGCCCGCCTCCGAGCGCTTTAGTGCTGACGCTGGGGCAGCTCCCATGCGCCCGCCCGCTGGGCTTAGAGTCTGGGCGCTGCCAGAAGGGAGATAGCTGCGAGGAGCCCATTAACCTGTGGTCTGAGAGACCGGGACGAGCTGTGGGGAAGCACTCTTGTTGGGGAGACCAGACTTCAAAACAGTGGGAAAATGGACTTACGGGATGAGGCGCTTTTGGTGCAGAAAATGTGAAATCTGTGTGTAGTTCTTTTAGAATGTAGTTTCCACGAACTTTTTGAACAGTGCTGCTTGCGCGCGATGGAAACTGCTAATTTAGAGGGCAAAGGTCATTTTGAAATGGGCCGTCATGGCTTAGTCTAAGGTATGTGAGCTTCTGAGACCTAGGCAGCTGCAGCGGGTGTCTGGAGGGGACCGAGGGAATGGTGCCTCCGTGCAGTGAGGGCCGGGTTGGACCCTGGAACAGGGAGAGAACCGCGAGCTGGGAGGTCCAGAAACATCTGTAGTGCAGTGGCACCGCCCCGTGGTAGCTTCTCGGCATGACGGCCGGGACGTGAGTGTGTAGAGCGCCCACATCGGGGGCTGAGTGAAGAGTATGTGGGCACCTTCTCTACCATTTCTGCTATTTTCTGTAAATCAAAAATGAAACATTTTGAAAAGCAAACGAAAAATGTCAGTGAACCATTTTACCCTTCTCTTCCTAATGTAGTGACAGCCCTAATGCGGCTCTTGAGGTGCAGAAGTGGCTACCCCGACTGCACGCCCTCGTCGTTGGGCCTGGCTTAGGTAGAGACGACGCCCTCCTCAGAACCGTCACGGTAAGATACTAACGATGTGTGTAATTCTCGTTACCTCCCCCGTGAAGTCAGAACGAAGGCATTTCTCTGGCATTCCCAGGCATAAATGGCATGCCGCTGTGTGGTGTTCTGTGTGTCTTTCATGCCGTAATTCAGCTGGTTGAAACTTGGTTTGCAGGATCCAGAGGAACTTTTTTTTTTTTGGTAGAGGTTTTTGCTATAGGGCACGTGCACTCGCCAGACAGAGAGAGACAGAGACAGAAAGCGAGAAATCACCCCCCAGGGGGATGGCACAACACAATCCCTTCTCCTCCATTCTCCTCTCGGGATCTTGGGCACGCACGCACACGTGCCCAGCGTGAGTTTTAAGCTACCGGATCCGGGACGCGAACCGCGGTCGACTACATGGGAGTCCAGGGACATAGCCATTATGCTAACTGCTGGTCCCCCAAAGGAACTAACTTAAAAAGTTTGTCATGAACTGTCTTAGAATGAGGGCAGAGTCCAGACTGAACGCCTCTCTTCCATGCTCAGGGCACTGGCTGTCTTCACACTGCTGTGTGCCCTGTGGCATGCACCCAGGGTAGCAGTGGCCCTGGGCACACCCACTGTCACTTGGGTACATACTGAGCTTCCGGGAGGCCGTGAGGGCTTGAAAGCAACTGAGCACTGAGACCTGTGGGGAGGGAGGCCAGGGCAAAGGCTCAGGTGGTAAGGGCAGTGGCCAGGGGAGGAGGGCCTCTGCTCAGCTTTTTTTATTTTTTTTTTTAATGTCAACCAGAGAGAGACAGAGAGAGAAGGAAAGTAAGAAAGCAAGCTGCCAGGTCCGGAACTCGAACCACTGTCAGCCACCTGGGAGTCCAGCTGCCTTAACCACCATGCTACCTGGCGGCCGCTCTGCTCAGCTTTGCTTTCTGAATGAAATGGAATGAAAGTCCAGGTGAAAGGCAGTGGGCAAGCTGCAGCACCTGGGCCCCTTCTCCATTCCTCTGGTGAGGCCCCTTCGGAAAGGCTGTTCTCGGAATGTTGTGAGGTCCTGGCTCTAAGGATGTCGTCCAGCGGTGGTGGTGTGCTGGGAATGAGAGCCAGGTTTTGCTGAGACTCCTGGGTGAAGCCGCTGTCACCATGTTCGACCAAGAGGCAAAACCCTCAACTGGGGACTTGGGGGATGAGAAGGACGAATACATTAAAGCAAAGTCATTGGACAGGAGAGCAGAGAGTCATTCCGCGTGAACGTGATAGGACACCTGCGGAGACTCGGTCGGACTGGCAGCGAGTTCTCTCGGCCTCTCTGGGAAGGTAGGAGAATCGCTGACAACCGTGCTCCGAAAGAACTGGGAACGGAAAAGGAAGGAGCCATTGAAGTTTATCGGGAACAAATGCGGCGGGTTTCAGGAGTTTCGATTTTCTTTTTTTTCTTTTCCTTCAATCCTTTTTTATTTTTAAGTATAGTTCTTTTGTAATGTGGTATGCAAAGTGGAGTTGAACCCTGGCTCCAGTCTCTCCAACATCTGGTCACTTGAATTCTGGTGCTCGTCGCCGGTACCGCTGGTTTCATCGTGCTAAGCTCGGCGATCAAGCCTTAGCTCCCTTCACTAAACAACACGCGTGCACCGAGGCCGTTTTCAGGGCTGCGTCTTCAGGCTGGTGGTGATAAGATCGGCCAGCGCCAGCATTCGCAGTGACTTCGAATTGGCCCTGAAATTTCAGCGTGTGACGGCTTCATTCCTGGACCGTGACCTTCGGTGGTAGATGGAAGTTTTTCAGAGAAATGAACTGTGGAAAATGACCTTTCTTTAACTTGAAGCTATTTTTAACTCTGAGGGTCTGGACCTAAAGAGGAATGTGAGGTCGGAGCTGTGGTGACAGATACGGTGAGAGTCCGTAACCCCAGGACGGGTTCACTGAGGAGGAAGCTTTAGATGAAAAATCTTGTCAGAGGATCCCAGAAAAGTTAAAATTTTCAGTAGTTATAACAGTGTAGGGCCGGCAGGTGGCGTGGTAGTTAAGGGCGCTAGACTCCCACATGGCCGACCATGGTTCAAGTCCTGGACTTGGTGGATTCCTTTCTCACTTTCTCTCTCTGGGTCCCTCTGTGGTCAAGTTGAAAATAAATAAATAAAGTTAAATGATTCTTAAAAAAAAAACAATAGAGCACATATACAACAGAACACTGCTCTTTTTCATTTTATTGGTGCTCTTTGGCCTGGGTTATGGATTTTAAATGGACATTGTCTGTACCAGCTTTGTTCAAACAAACAGTATTTGTAAAAATCATAAATACCGGGGCCCATAGGTGGCATGATGGTTAAGGCAGGGGACTCCCACACAGCTAATTGTGGTTCGAGCCTCGGACCTGGTGGCTTGCTTTCTCACTTTCTCTCTCTCCTTCTGTCTTTCTCTGGTGAGTGAACATGCTCTGTTTTTAAAAAAAGAAATAGGATCAGCAGGTGGCGTGGTGGTTAAGAAGCTAGACTCTCACAGGGCCAACTGCGGTTCGAGTACTGGAGCTGATGGCTTGCTTTCTCACTTTTCTTCTTTCTGTCTGTCTCTGGTGCCCTATAGCAAATTTTAAAATACTAATAAATAAAATTAAATAAATGATTATTTTAAAAATAAGTAAAATTTTAAAAAATCTTAAGTGTCTGTTTACCTCCCTCCCTCCTCCAGGACTGATCTGGCCCCTTCCTTCGGAGTAGAGGCCATGGACTGTCCCTGAGGAGCAGTCGCCGTGGCATGTGCAGTTTAGCAGGATATCTTGACTTAGAAATTACTAGGAGATCCCTTCATGGCTGGCCTCTCAGAGGGCATCTCACCCTGGCAGCTGGGGTCTAGGCTGGCTGCTTGTCCGTAGAACTAGACAGTTCCTGCAGACACCTCTCTCCCGAGTGTCTCCCACTCCTTTGATTTGAAAGTTTGTCTTTAATGAGCATTCCTAGTACAGAGAAAAGCGGGCCTCTGTGGAGACCTGGCAGGCCACAGGAAGACAGCGGGCATGTGCATTCGGGAGTCATCTGTGGGGGCAGCTCAAGGTGACAGCTCATGCAGAGAAGGCCTCTGGGAGCCTCGTTCCCAGGGACGGAGTTAGCATGGGGAGTGCCAGTCCTTCGGGGTGATAGATCCTCCACTGGCCTTGTTTGAGGGACAAGAGTCCCTGGGAGTCCCTGCCTGTGGACGGTGTCTGCCACATGGTCAGCTTGGCCCTGGGTGCTGCTTTGCACCCTGGGGTGCAGAATGTGTTGGCTGTGCTACACACAGTAGGGGCACAGCCTCTGCAGGTCATGGAAGAGCCGCTGGTGATGAGCTGCTTTCTAGATGGTTTGTCTTTGGAAACAGGGCCTGAGGTCCTCCTGCCAGCAGGGGGCCAGAGTGGTCCCCTCAGAGCCCTTGCCCAGACCTTGCTGGTGATGGCACAGAGGAGTCCGAGGCATCCTCAGACCCCCTCTGCCCTCGTCCTTTGATGTCTTCGTTGTCTTGGACACGTGAATGTTGGTGAGCATTCTGGTTCTATATTTTGCAAACTTGATGTGTGCTGTTGACTCTGGGCTGGCAGTCCCAGGGTCCAGGCTGGCGCGCTCTCCATAGAAGCACCTAGGCAGTGGGCAGAGCCATGTCATGGACACACAGGCGTCAGGTCTGACCTTGGTCTGCATCAAGCTGCGCACTCAAGTGTTCTCTGAACCCCACCTGGGCATAGCATCTCCAGGTCAAGCTGTGAGCGAGACCTGCATGTCGCTGCCACTGCTGCTCCCGGAACGTCAGACTAAGACCTGGGATTCCAGCAGCGTGAACGCACAGATGTGTCGGGGGACTCAGGCGAAGTGAGGGTGAAACCCACTTGAACTCTCTGCTCCTGGTAGGTTTCTTTGAATTTAAGTTCATTGTAAAATAAAAAAAGTTGGTTTTGGGACCAGCAGATGGCGAAATGGTTATGTCGTTGTACTCCCAAGTTGTTGAGCGCAGTTCGCATTCCAGATCCAACAGCTTAAAATCCCAAGAGGAGAATAGAGGGGAAGGGATTGTGGAGTGGCCATCCCCCCGGGGGTTGATTTCTCACTTTCTGTCTCTATTTCTCTCTGTCTCTCCAGTGAGTGCACAAGCACGCACACTGGCTGCCCTTCCCACCAGACTTGTCCCCACCCTGCATGGTGTCTGTTCCCTCCTGTGCAGTACAGCATGCCACCCGCACACGTGCTGAGCTCGTCCTGAGCTGCAGCCGTACAGTGGTGCAGTACGCTCTGCCCCTCGCTGCCCCGGCCCAGCCCCAGGCCTGCAGGCACTTCCCAGGATTCTCTGGTGAGCTCATTCTCTTGTGGTCCTGGAAGCAACCCTGTTAGAGCCATCTCCGAGGTAGCCTATAGCAAGCACTCAGGAGTTTGTAGTTTGTCCCAACACCTGCGTTAACATGTGCGGCGATGGTGCAGAGGTTCCCAGGGACTTGTAGAGTGTGCAGCCACCACGCAGTCGGTTTAGAATATCATCACCCCGGAAGACTGCATCAGCTTGTGCTCCCTGCCCCCTCTGCTCCCCCCGCCCCCCAGCAGCTCGTACTCTGCTTTTCCTCTCATGAGTTTGCCTACTGGGGACAAGCCGTGTGAACGTGTCCAGTGTTGTTCACACAGCATCACTCCATGTTAGGAAATTATAGCAGTCTGCTGTGCAGTGGTGCGTCAGTGCTTCAGCTCTTCCGTGGCTGTTCAGTACTCCACTGTATGGGCGTACCACGTTTGCTTTGTCCCGTACTTGATGGACAGTGGCTTGTTTCTGGGTTTTGTTTTTTGGATTTTGGTTTTTCTTGGTTTCCTTTCTCCCTCTCTCTCTTTTTTGCTATTTAGTCTATGTGCTAGAGACAGAGAAGGGGAGACAGAGGAGAGTAAGTGTAAACACTGCCTGGGGGAATAGCCGTGCCACAGTCCCTTTTCTTCTGTTCTCCTCCCAGGATTTTGGGCATACACGCACACGGGCCCAGTGTATTTTTCAAGCCTTCAAGTCTGGAACTTGAACTGTACATGTGCCATCTGCTGGCCCTAGGCCTTCTAGGGATTATTTTCTATTTCCTCCATGGGCCAGAAACAGCACGTGGCCATCCCCCCGGGGGTTGATTTCTCACTTTCTGTCTCTATTTCTCTCTGTCTCTCCAGTGAGTGCACAAGCACGCACACTGGCTGCCCTTCCCACCAGACTTGTCCCCACCCTGCATGGTGTCTGTTCCCTCCTGTGCAGTACAGCATGCCACCCGCACACGTGCTGAGCTCGTCCTGAGCTGCAGCCGTACAGTGGTGCAGTACGCTCTGCCCCTCGCTGCCCCGGCCCAGCCCCAGGCCTGCAGGCACTTCCCAGGATTCTCTGGTGAGCTCATTCTCTTGTGGTCCTGGAAGCAACCCTGTTAGAGCCATCTCCGAGGTAGCCTATAGCAAGCACTCAGGAGTTTGTAGTTTGTCCCAACACCTGCGTTAACATGTGCGGCGATGGTGCAGAGGTTCCCAGGGACTTGTAGAGTGTGCAGCCACCACGCAGTCGGTTTAGAATATCATCACCCCGGAAGACTGCATCAGCTTGTGCTCCCTGCCCCCTCTGCTCCCCCCGCCCCCCAGCAGCTCGTACTCTGCTTTTCCTCTCATGAGTTTGCCTACTGGGGACAAGCCGTGTGAACGTGTCCAGTGTTGTTCACACAGCATCACTCCATGTTAGGAAATTATAGCAGTCCGCTGTGCAGTGGTGCGTCAGTGCTTCAGCTCTTCCGTGGCTGTTCAGTACTCCACTGTATGGGCGTACCACGTTTGCTTTGTCCCGTACTTGATGGACAGTGGCTTGTTTCTGGGTTTTGTTTTTTGGATTTTGGTTTTTCTTGGTTTCCTTTCTCCCTCTCTCTCTTTTTTGCTATTTAGTCTATGTGCTAGAGACAGAGAAGGGGAGACAGAGGAGAGTAAGTGTAAACACTGCCTGGGGGAATAGCCGTGCCACAGTCCCTTTTCTTCTGTTCTCCTCCCAGGATTTTGGGCATACACGCACACGGGCCCAGTGTATTTTTCAAGCCTTCAAGTCTGGAACTTGAACTGTACATGTGCCATCTGCTGGCCCTAGGCCTTCTAGGGATTATTTTCTATTTCCTCCATGGGCCAGAAACAGCACCTCTCAGGAAAGCATTGATGCCGCAGTCTACGCCCAGCCTTCAGCGAGCCATGGATCGTGGCCATGTGTGCCATGGACTCGGGGAGGTCCTCAGCTTGAACCAGGAACCTTCCTGTGTGGGTCAGCCCTGCAGTGCTGCATTTTGCCATGGCACCACCACCTGTCCTTTTCCACTTCCTGCCGACTGAACAGGGCTGCTGTGAGCATTTGTTCCCAAGATTCTGTGCCGGCACGACCTCTCGGGTGCAGGCCTAGGAGGGCGGTGTGCGCTGCGTGGTAGCTGTGGCCTGTGCCATTGTGCACGCCCTGTGGTGTGGCAGGGTCCGGCTCCTGCTGCTGGCACTGACTGCCTGTCATCCCCGTCGCTGGCTGTCCTGGGCAGGTGAAGGTACCTCGTGGCTATGGGCTACCTTTTCCTCGAGGGCTGTAGATGTTGAGTCTCTCCATGCTTATTGGCCATTCCATTCATATCATTTCCTCGTCTGAAAGTGTGTCTCTATCGAGCTCTAGAGTGTGGATATGTGTACTTACGTACGTGTTCTGGGGCCAGGTCCCGCAGGGATCTGATGGCATGTGTTTCTCCCTTCCTCTGGCGTTGTCCGTGGCACAGCCTCCTCATCCTGATGGACTCGTTTCCTTTTCCTGTCTCATGCCCTTGTCTCAAAACCCAGGAGGTTTTGCCTAACCCCAGTTCAGTCCTGTGTCTCCTTCAGGAGCGGCACTGTTTGAGCGCCCACGCTCAGGCCTGACCCATGAGCGCTGACTGTGGCGTACGCAGGCCCGGCTTCCTTTCCTGGTACGTGACGTCCCGCTGTCCTGGGCCATCTGTGGGCTGAGTCTTCTTTCCTCCTGACCTGTCCCGGTATCCTGGTTCCCCCAAGTTGAAGGTCTCTTTCTGGGCTCCCTTTCTGTCCCGCTGATCTCCATGGCTGTCCCGACACCACCCCTGGTGACCCGCCTGCTGTGAGCGCAGCTAGCTCTGCCAGGAGAAAGCCATCCTCCCACTGTGCTCCTCAGGGGTCTGCAGGCCTGGGCCCAGCGTGCCTTGTGCCAGGGTCTCAGGCTCAGTTCAGCCACTGCAGGTCAGCTGCAGGGGTGTCGGGAGGGCAGCGCTGAGCTGGAGCTGTGGGTCAGCTTGGGGCCTCTCGCCCCAGCAACACGAGGTCCTGGTTCTGGTTCGCGAGCGGGTTTCTTGCCGAGCTGTCTGTATCTAGAACACCCCGCCCTCAGAAGTCTGGGCTGCCGCAGCCCCCCTTCCTAGCAGCGTCCTGGCTGGGCGTGTGCCTGTCCCTCGGTGCTTCAGCGGCCTCCTCACGACTGCGAGCACTGCAGTGCATTTGATGAGGCACCGAGGCGCTCTTCAGCCTCTTCCTATTAGTGACATAAAATTTCTATATTTCTGCAAGTAACCGCTTGAATAGAAAAATACGAGGGGGCCAGCCTGTGGCATGGTAGTTAAGGTGCTGGACTCACCTGGGTGGCCTTGGTTTGAGTCCTGGACCTGGTGGCTTGTTTTCTCACTTTCCCTTTCTCTCTCTCTGGTCAAATCAAAAAACAATAATAAAATAAATTGTCAAAGGGAAAAAAGACGAAGATGGCATATTGTTGCCAAATACTGCAGCTGGAAACCAGAAATGGATCTGAAACCCGAACTGACAAAAGCTTTATCGGCTTTAGCAGCAAAGCCAAAAGCCGGGCAAGCAGAGAAGGTTCATTGTTAACACAGGAAACAAGCGTCTGTGAAACCCATGCCCCAGCCCTCACTTGGAGGGACTTTGTTCACATAGTCCTCGTCCTCGGCGTCACAGCAAAAACCAGCCGTGTCCACAACCAGAACACTCATCACAAGACCCAGGCTGAGGCTGTGTGGGGAGCGAGTCACGCTTCATGGAATTCCAGACTTCATTCTCAGGATCAGTTTGAATGTATGTTGCTTTATCTGTCAGAACTTTAACTCCTCTTGGGACCAGCAGTTGACGTGGCCACGTCACTAGACTCCCATGTAGTCGACTGCAGTTTGAGTCCTGGACCCGATGGCTTACACGCCGGGTGCGTGTGTATGCGTGCCCAAGATCCCGAGAGGAGAATGGAGGAGAAGGGATTGTGGCGTGGCCATCCCTCACCCTCCAGGGGGTGATTTCTCGCTTTCTGTCTTTCTATTGGTCTCTGTCTTTTGGGCAAGCACGTGTGCCCTATAGCAACCCCCCCCCCCAAAAAAAAAAAAAAACCTTTAACTTGTCTTTACATAGTATTTATTTTGTTTTAATCTTCTCTTCTAATGTTTTCTGTTAAATGTCTTTACCAGGTAGAGATCACATGTTAATTTAGTCTACAAGGGGTTTTCACCAAGTTCATAGGAAATGCATATGAAAAGAAAGAACTATGCATAGATTTCAGAACCTGTTTGCACCCAAATAAGCTCAGACTTGACTTCCATTGTCCTACAAGCTTCCTGAGGTCTCTTTCTATGCTCTGGTCGTACATATGGGCTGAGTGATGAGCAACCACGTGTTGAGTGTGTACATGCATGTGTGTGTCTTGATGGATCTGGGTTTCTAACTGTTTTTCAACAGCAAAGCTTTGAGATTTAGTGTAATTTAAAAAAAAATTATTTCGTTGAACTTTATTAATTTTATTATTTTAATTTGACCAGAGAGGAGCAGAGAGAGAGAAAGTGAGAAAGCAAACTGCCAGGTCTGGGACCCGAACTACAGTTGGCCACGTGGGAGTCTAGCGCTCTTAACCACCACGCCACCTGCTGGCCCCAAGATTTGGTGTAATTCTATTAAAGAAAAAAGATCCAAAACCTGCTGGGGCAGTATTTCTTGTTATGGCCACTCATTATTCTAAAACATGTGACTAAAGTGTTATGACAAGTACTTAATAATTAATGATTTGGGGGACTTGCAGGGATTTGGATTTCTTGTCTCCAAGTCCTGAAGGTCACGAGCTGTCGGAAATCGGGAATACTTGGGGAAGGCCTCCTGGGCTGGCCTCGGAGCCCACTGCCATTTGTAACGTTCCTGCGTGTGTGGGCGCTGGCCGTTCACTGACTGGGTCTCTCCCGCTGTTTATTGGTGGTGTTTTCTGTTTGTTCTGAGCTGATGCTGCATTTCACTCAGACTGCTCAGTTTCCTCTTGACCCCTACTGAGTGATGGCAGGGTTGTTGCTCAGTGTCTCCTTTTCCCACAGGACATTTTGGAGGTGTCAAAGGCCAGGGACATCCCCATAGTCATCGACGCGGTGAGTGCGGCCTCTCCTCTCCTCTCCTCTCACACAGCTCAGGCCCCAGGCGCACCCAGTGACTGCATGCCTTCTCTGCACAGGATGGCCTGTGGCTGGTTGCCCAGCAGCCGGCCCTCGTCCAGGGCTACCAGAAGGCCGTTCTCACTCCCAACCACATGGAGTTCAGCAGACTCTATGAAGCTGTGGTGAGTCAGTGGCCTCCTGCCGCGGGACACAGGGCTGTCCTGAAGGCTGGGGGATGGCTCTGCAGTCTGCCCAGCATTTCACACGGCCTCTGAGGTGCCGATTCTCACCCGCTAAGGTGTGACCGCACCTCTTAGAGCTGATGGTGCAGCTTTGGGTGTACGTCTTTGATGGGGAGTGAAGGGTGGCCTGACAGGCTGGGGCAGGCGAGGATCTGGGGTCCTCCCTTCCTTCGGCAGGTCACTTTATCTTGTGGGTGATGATGACATCCACTTCATAGGGCCTGTGAGGACTAGGAAGCGACGTGGAGACCATGAGTCCGCACACGCTGAAGATCCGAGTGAGATTCTCAGTCAGACTTGTCTCTCTTTTGCAAACCTTTGAAAGCCAGCTGGGGCTGAGGTCTCTTAGCTCTGGCCTGGCGGGTGGAGGACAAGCACCTGCAGCAGCCACTGGGAGGACTTGTCGCAGACCATGTCCCGGGTCTCCCGGCACTGCTCAGCCTGTGCATGGTGCCAGGTGGTTCATTCTGAGACCCACGTCAGAAAGCGGCTGGGTAGATGTGAGGTTTAAGACCCGCAGTGGAGCGACCAGGTGGATGTGAAGGTCTAAGGCCTGTGTCAGAGGCGGCCAGGTAGATGGGAGGGTTTGAGGCCCGTGATGAAGAGGTGGCCAGTGGACGAGAGGGTCCGTGCCTCGTGT